CGCCCGCCCCGGCCGCCTCCGCGCCTTGCGCGGCCGCGGGCTCGTCGCCGGCCCCGTCGCCGAAACCGCGCCGCCGGGCGGCCATCGCGGCGCGGCGCGCGCCGAACCGCGGGTCCCGCCAATCCAGCTCTACGCCATGCAGCCAGTAAACCAGCTGCGCCAGCGCGCCGCCGACCCGCCGCGCCAGCCGCTCGCGCGCCCTCCGCCCCCGCGGCCACCCCGCCGCGCCGCCGCTGCCGCCGCGACTGCCAGCGTCCCCGGAGCCGCCGCCCGACTCCCTCAGTTGTCGCACGGCGACCATCAGGCGATCAAACGCCGCCTGCAGGAACGCCGCCGCATCTTGGGCCGACGCGGACTCGAAGCTCGGCGCCAGATGCGCCAACAGGCACTCTGAGAGCCCAAGCGCCGCCCGTGCGCCGCCGGGGGCGGCCGACGCGGGGTCGATCTGCTGCGCGACGAGCGCGGCCGCGGCTGAGGCCGCGGCGAGCGCGCGGCCGCGGTGCTGGCGGACGCTGAGGCGGCTCGCGGCGGCGCCGGAGGAGCCCCGAGCGCCGCCGCCCCCGCTGGCCGCTCCCGCGGCCGCGCCCGCTGCTGGCGCGCCGGGCGGCTCGGCTGTCGACACGGGAGCCACAGAGCTGCCGGCGCCGCCGCGACCACCAGGCTTCCCCTTCGGCTGCTGCTGCTGCTGCTGCTGCTGCTGCCGCTGCTGCTGCACCAGCGCAGCCAGCTCCCAGCCCAGCTGCAGCTGCACCGCTCGCAGCAGCGGCAGCAGGGAGGGCCCGTGCCCTGCCGGCGGCTCGCCCACTGCGGCCAGGGCCCCAGCCTCACACTGCTGTGCCCCTTCGTTCAGACCGTCCTGCAGCCCTGCGGGGCCAGCCGCCGCAGTCGCAGCTGCTGGAGCCCTCGCATGAGCCGGGCCCGGCTGCTGAGGTCTCGAATGTGGGAGCTGAGGCGCGTCCATGCCCTTCTGCTGCTGCTCCTCCTGCTGCTCCTGCTGCTGCTCCTGCTGCTGCTCCTGCTGCTGCTGTTGCTGCTGCTGCCGTTGGGACGGCGCGGGTGGCAAAGGTCCCAAGGTTCTGGCAAAAGCCACAAACTCTTTCAACGCTTGCAGCAAGGCGTCCAGCTCCGCGGCACTCGGCGCGTGCTGCTGTTGCTGCTGTTGCTGCTGCTGTTGCTGCTGCACATGGCCCGCCGCGGGCGCAGCAGGCTGCGGCAGCAGCTGCTGCAGCAGGGTAAGGTGGCAGCGCAGCTGCAACGCCTGGAAGCGCTCCCGCTCCTGCTGCTGCTTTTGCTGCAGTGGCGTCGCCTTCTGCTGCTGCTGTTGCTGCAGTGGCGTCGCCTGCTGCTGCTGCTGTTGCTGCTGCTGCTGCTGCTGCTGCTGCTGCTGCTGCTGCTGCTGGTGTTGCCCCCCCTGCTGCTGCTCACCCGGCTGCCGCTCCGCCGTGACGCCTGGCGTCGACGGCTCCAGCGACAACGGCATGGCGCCACGTTCTGAGAGGCCCATTGCAGCCGCCGCATCTGCCGCTTGAGCGACGCGCGCAGCGGCGCTGCGGGCGGCACGCAGCAGCAGGCGCAGCGCCTTGAGTTGCACGGGCAGCAGCGGTCCTGGCAATGAGGTTGGGGGTTGCGCAGAGGAGCCGAGGGTGTAGTGGGCAACAGGGGCAGGGAAAGTCAGAGTGTGGAAGCGGGTGGGGTAGCGAAGTGGCAGAGTGGGATCCTGCACTCGCCATGGCAAGCGTCCGTGCTCGCCCAGGCTTGACCATGATTGCACGCAAGCGCATGCGCGGGATATGCACGCGCGTGCGCACAACCACACACATACACGCTCACTCTTTCTCAACACACGCAAACACACGCGCAAACACACGCGCAAACACACACATACACAAACACATGTGTACACACCCACTCAACCACCCCCTCACCTCCAACTCCAAACCTGCCCTCACATACGTGCAAACATACAAATGCACACACAGCACCGCGATCACCTGGAGCATGAAAACTGCAAGCATCAAGAGCATGCGCACACAACTTTGTTTGAAGCATCCACCCCGCATCCTGCAACCCACCGCTCTGCCCCAAGCAGTGGCCCTCCAGCTTCCGGATCGCCGCCTCAGGCCGCGCGGAGACGAGCAGCGCCTCCGCCTCTGACAGCAGCAGGGCAAGCTGCATGTTGTGCAGCCGCTCCAGAACCTCACTCTCATCTGGCAACAGCGCCGCGGGCGCCGCAGCAGGAGCGGCGGCGGCGGCGCCCGCGCGCTCGTCCTCGCTCTGCGCCCCCCCTCGAGCGCCAAAAGCGGCGGCCAGCGCGGCGGCGGGCGCGGCGCGCCGGTCCCGCAGCTCGCGCCGCCCCCGCTCGCGGCGGCAGAGCAACAGGCACAGCTTGTATGCATCCCCCGCGGCGCGAACGTCACCCTGCGCCTCGAGCAGGCGCCCCCCGGCCCACGCGTGCCGAGTCAGCAGCCGGTCCTGTTCGATCGGGTCGAGGGCCGCGTCTAGCGCACGTAAGCAGCGCGGAGCGGCAGCGCGGCCGCCGACCGTTGGCGCGGCCGCGGAGGGGCCTGGTGCAAAGGGCGCCGCGAGCCGCCGCCGCTTTGGCAGCCGCTCGCAGCCGCCCTCGGCGCACGCAGCGCCGGCAGCGGGGCTGGGGCCGGCGCTGGCGCCGGCGTGGGGGGGCCACGAGGTCGGCATCGGGGCCGCGCTTGACAGCGCCTGCCACGTGCGGCCGTGATACCAGGTTGCAACATCGCCACCAGACTCGCCACGCCGTCCGCTGCCCCCGTTCTCCGCTTCACCGACTAGCGTCAGCGCAGGCGCTGCCGCTGTCAGCAGCGGCCCTTGCCCTGCTGGCCTGTTGTCTCTGTCGCTGCGCATGCTGGCAGCTGCATCAGGCGGCACTGCGGCTCCAGCCAATGGCCACCATGCGTCTCCGCAGGCCGGCACAGCTATTGAGGCATAGACCAGATTGAGCTGTCGTTCTGCCAAATCAAAAAGGGCTGCTGCTTCTGTGTCCATCGCACAAGGGGCGGCCCCACCCCTCCCGCTGCTGCCGCCGGCGCCCCGCCCGCTGCCGGCTCCGGCGCCGCGCCCGCTGCCTGTGCCGCCCCTACCCCGGCCCCTGCCGCCGCCGCTTCCTCTGCCGCTGCCGCTGCCGCCGGCGCTGGCGACGGCGCCGCCGCGGCCGCTGCCACCAGCGCCTTCTTCGCCGCGGCCGCGCC